TATATATATATAATAACCCATATAATAACCCATATAATGTGTGTGTGTGTGTGTGTGTGTGTGTGTGTATACATTTTTTTTCTTCTATCATTGGTCAGAAACTGAGAGTTCGACGGTTAATTCGACCATTCTTCCTCTTGCAAAACTCATCCCTGATGAAAAAGACACTGAAGTGCATCAAGAGAACTCTGCCAGAGATTGCCAGGTATTTGCTTTCTTTGCATTGAACAAGGACAAGTTTTGTTATTAATGTAACTCAGCCCCACCAAATATTTTCTCACAAGCAACCCCAAGAAAGAAACAAAAGAGTTTCAGTTCTCGCTGCGTGACATGCTCAAACTTAATTAAACCTATCACAAAGTAATTTTATTCGAATTGATCCACTGAAAAATATGAAGGTTTTCTACGTTGTTCTGATTTGAGATGCACCTGTCTAACTCAATTCCTCAGTAAGAACATTTTGAGTCAAAAGCCCAGAGCTACTTCAAAAAATTGTGTGACCCTAATTTCCACATTGTTCAGAAAAACTAATCTACAGATTAGTACGTCATGGTTTCTCCCTTGAGCCATGTGAGCTAATTACACAATTCTAAACGTAGAAATGCATTCTATCCGATTGCGCTGATGAACTGCTTTTACTTCGAGTAGCTTCTTTTGACATGTTTCTTAAGCAATTGCAAAATGTGTAGTGGGGACACTGTACAAAAGTGCGCTAAAATTCCCGACCGATGCCTCAACTCAGCACTGACAGGAAGTGAGGTTTTATTAACATCTACATACTTCTCCACCCCCGCCCCCCCCAAAAAAAAACAACCTTGAGACTGATGACTGGTGCGTAAACTGGAGTACACTAACACAAAATAACACAAAATATAGAATTTGGGATTTTTCGATACCGCTTTTTTTCACACGATAACAGTTAAAGTGCTCACCGCTTGAATTGCCACAGATACTGATACCAAGTATCGATAAAATCCATAAAAATTCCCCTAAAATACCATGACTCAATTAAAAAAAAGACCGATATATATATATATATAT